AGAGCCTTGGATAGGTGTCTTATTATTATTGAAATCTAAATCAAAATAATAATTAAAGAAATACTTGAATAAAGGCATTCTGTCACTGCAACTCACTCCTGACCTGATATACCTCCATGCTTGTAATGTTTTATTTGAGATATATTTAAAGATAGCAAACACCAAACTCAACAATACTGTATTTTATGTACTAATACCAACAAATCCTGCTTTGAAACATTTTATAAATTTCATTTAGCTGGTAGTGTTTCTGTCCTTCCTTCCAGACCTGCCTCAACTTCAGTTTATCTCAGCATGTGTGCTGTTCCCACCAAATGCCATGGATTTCCAAATATAAGTATGATTAATAAGTTACACCAAATAACTGTTGTAAGAAATACAGCTTCGAAAAAGTTAAAGTGATTAATACATCAATTTAGACATTAACTCCTAAGTACTTGCTTGCTATGTGCTATTATTTGAAGTTTTAGGAAGATCAAGGATTACCGCAAACTGAAGTCAAACAAAACCTTTGTGTATCCTAAATTCAGTATGTCTTTAGAAATGATGAAACAAAACATAAATCTTCTGTTCACAAAGAGGCATCTTGTTTTTTTCTTGCAGATATTAAATAAAGTTCTCTAAAAAAGTTAAGGAAGACCACAAGTGTAAGAATTTTGTTTGGCTGTAACAAAAAGAATTTTTTTCTAAAAAACAAAACTTCGAATAACAGTATTATTCATTTACAGTTCAAAAGGCCAAACAAGTTAGCCTGAGTCTCACTATACAGTCAGACTCACTACACACTCTTTGGTAAAGAGCAGGAACTAGTGAGATGTACAGAAGATGGTTCAAAAGCATCATCTTTAAACATAGTTACTTTCAGATTTCTTCTGTTAGACTAGGTTCTTTGCTACCTCCCTACAGTTAGGTTGAATAGTTCAAATTACTAATCTTAACAGGCTATGGAGTCATACTTGCCAATCATCCCTATTTAGGCAGGACAGTCAATTGTTAGAAAAATATTAACCACATATAACTAAAAAACCCCTCTTAAAATAACATATTAAAGATGTGTATATTTCTTTCTCAGTACGTACCTCTATTTATAACAAATACGATGAGGGATTTATTATAATGGACAGCCTGGATATAGTGAACAAGACTTATGTATGAGATACCATATTTTCCCTCTCTACAATCACCTATCTATAATTATGCAGGAAGGTGTCTGCCTCATGTAAAGAGGAAGAAAAATGAAGGAAGCCAGGCAATGATCTGGACTGAGATTGCCAGTTCATTTCACGCAGACTATCAGTGAGTCATCAGACAGTAATTGCTTTCAGTAACTATGCTGACATGAACCAGATTAAAACTGGTGACCCTAAAGGTGGATGGTACCATATCCCTATAGCAAATCCCTGAGCCATACAGTCCCTCAGTGAGGACTGGTAATGTGCTGATGATTTAGTTTTAGTTTTGTTGATAAAGCAGGCTTGAATTTATTTTTGTAAGGTTGGTTGGGAATCTGGGTGCATAAAATGAATGAGGATTTTTTTCTGGAGAAATGTTGGCATTGGCTCAACAAAAAGAGGGAGAAGGGTATGTTGAGTATAACAGCCTGAACATCAAGATTAGATAACAATTTAATTTTCTCACATCACATGCTCATTACATCCTCATGTAAACAGGTGGAGTCCTCATCTCATTCCAAATAAAAACTACACATGCAAAAGGTTACACACACAAAAAAATAATCATTCTTTGCAAGGACTGCAAAGTTTAAGGGTTCTGGCAGCCATCACATTTACTTGACAATGGGCCAATTTTTTCAAGGTATTTAGAAACATAGTGAGATTTTCAAAAGCACCTAGGTGCCTAATTTTTTGTGTGCTTTTGAAAATTCCACTGTCTGCATGTTTAGGTGCCTAAATATCTTGAAAAATCTGGCCCTATATTCTTAGCCTCACCCCGCCATAAACACAAAAAAACCTCACATCGGTCAGTATTTTCCTCTTCAGTCAATAAATCCTAATATTCACCTCAAGAGAGTCAACAAAAACAACAAGGCGTCCAGTGGCACCTTAAAGACTAACAGATTTATTTGGGCAAGTAAATCTGTTAGTCTTTAAGGTGCCACCGGACTCCTTGTTTTTGTGGATACAGACTAACATGGCTACCCCCTGATAAGAGAATCAACAGTTACTTAATATTTTAAGATATGCTTTGAGTACAGATAGGTGCATTGTAGTAGACTCATAGACTCATAGACTTTAAGGTCAGAAGGGACCAATATGATCATCTAGTCTGACCTCCCGCATGATGCAGGCCACAAAAGCTGACCCACCCACTCCTGGAATAATTCTCTCCCTTGACTCAGCTGTTGAAGTCCCCAAATCATGATTTGAAGACTTCAAGTCGCAGAGAATCCTCCAGCCAGCGACCCCTGCCCCATGCTGCGGAGGAAGACGAAAAACCTCCAGGGCCTTTGTCAATCTACCCTGGAGGAAAATTCCTTCCCGACCCCAAATATGGCGATCAGCAGAACCCCGAGCATGCGGGCAAGAATCTCCAGCCAGACCCGCATTGACCATTGATATTAATTACCTGCGATGGTACGTTATAGACCTATTGACTAAAATCACGTTATCCCATCAAACCATCCCCTCCATAAATTTATCAAGCTTAATCTTAAAGCCAGAGAGATCTTTCGCCCCACCGTTTCCCTCGGAAGGCTGTTCCAGAACTTTACCCCTCTGACGGTTAGAAACCGTCGTCTAATTTCAAGCCTAAACTTCCCGACGGCCAGTTTATATCCATTCGTTCTCGTGTCCACATTAGTAAGATTAGTTAATATATTTTAACTGTTGATTGACAGATTTATCTCAAATTTATAGATTTATTTTACAAGATGGATATTGTTATTGTTTGAAGGTTGGGGACAAATGCTATGCACAAATTTGAAAATGTCATAGTCATAAAATTTAAGGCCAGAGGGGACAATCAGATCACCTAGTCTGACCTCCTGTATATCACAGGTCACCACCACCACCCAGCATTCAAACACTAAACTCAACAATTGAAATTAGACCTGGGTATTACATCCCTCAGGACACTAAACTACTATGTGCCACAGGCAGAGAATAGGGGAGACAAAGGTAATCAATAATGTTGCATAATACTATTAGTATAAAGAATATTTGGAGTATACCCATAATATTAAAAAAGAAATCTCATTATTTAGATTCTTTCAATTATTTTTAAAGTGCCTATTTACACAGCAATTTACTGCACGGCAAACTAGGGTATGAATCTACAGCACACCAGCTTGCCTGCATAGTAATGTCCCGTGTGGAAACTGCTAAAGCACACCAAGGGTACATCTACACTGTGATAAAAGACCCACAGCACAGCTGCAGCTGGTCTGAATCAGCTGACCCAGCCTCTGAGACTTGGTGCTGTAGGTTTTTTATCGCAATGTAGACGTACCCTAAAAGTCCTGGAATATGGCTTGGCTTACAACTACCTGCCACACAGTAATCTGCTATGTAGACAAGCCCTGTAAGTGTTAAACAAGGTTTCCCTGAGGGTGATATGTTCTTACGTTTTTAATTTGGGCCTAAGAATAGCCATAGTGGGTCAGACCAAAGGTCCATCTAGCCCAGTAGCCTGTCTTCCGACAGTGGCCAATGTCAGGTGCCCCACAGGGAATGAACAGAACAGGTAATCATCAAGCGATCCATTCCCTGTCACCCATTCCCAGCTTCTGGCAAACACAAGCTAGGGACACCATCCCTGCCCATCCTGGCTAATAGCCACTGATGGACCTACCCTCCATGAATTTATCTAGTTTTCTTTTGAATCCTGTTATAGTCTTGGCCTTCACTACATTCTCTGGCAAAGAGTTCCACAAGTTGACTGTGCATTGTGTGAAGAAATACTTCCTTTTGTTTGTTTTCAACCTGCTGCCTATTAATTTCATTTGGTGACCCCTAGTTCTTGTGTTATGAGGAACACTTCCTTATTTATTTTCTCCACAGCAGTCATGATTTTATAGACCTCAATCATATCCCCCCTTAGTCGTCTCTTTTCCAATCTGAAAAGTCCCAGTCTTATTAATCTCTCTTCATACAGAAGCCATTCCATTCCTCTAATAATTTTTGTTGCCCTTTTCTGAACCTTTTCCAATTCCAATATATCTTTTTTGAGATGGGGTGACTACATCTGCACGCAGTATTCAAGATGTGGGCGTACCATGGATTTATATAGAGGCAATATGATATTTTCTATCTTATCTATCCCTTTCTTAATGATGCCCAACATTCTGTTCGCTTTTTTGACTGCCACTGCACACTGAGTGGATGTTTTCATCAACTATCCACAATGACTCCAAGATCTCTTTCATGAGTGGTAACATCTAATTTAGATCCCATCATTTTATACGTATAGTTGGGATTATGTTTTCCAATGTGCATTACTTTGCATTTATCAACACTGAATTTCATCTGCCATTTTGTTGCCCAGTCATCCAGTTTTGAGAGATCCTTTTGTTGCTCTTTGCAGTCTGCCTGTGACTTAACTATCTTGAGTAGTTTTGCATATTGAGTAGTTTTCTGATGTTCTTATGTTCAGGTTGCTGTATTAGGGCTGCCACATTTCAGCTGGACAACAACTGAACTATGCTTATTTGCGAGTCCCTCCTAACAAATCTCACTACCATGACTAAGAATAGTGTGAATCCGTATTCCGTTACAAAGGGAGAGTGAGTGGAAGAGAGGACTGAGTCAATTACATATGTTATCTAGAGCCATGTGGATGACAAGCAGAAAGTAACAAAGAGAGGCGAGTTAAACAAAATGGTATTAGTTTAGTTATCAGTGAAGAGAAGGGAAAGCAACCACTGGAGGGAGAAAAAGTCTGATAAGGCAAATATATTACGGGTACAGTGTATATGGTGTATTTCATAGTATCATATAATTAATTGAAGTATATGCTCCATCTAGGAAGTAAAATGAACTTACTTTTTCCTTTAGGTCAGATAACTTCTTTTCCACTTTTGTTTCAATGTCTTTTTGTTCTTTGAGCTGTTAAAATAAATGCCAAGAAAGCTGAGCAAAAGTACAGACACAAACATTTATAAAATGTAATACAGAGAGGATGAGGGAGACATTATTAATTTAATATTATACTTCTTTGAACAATTAATTAATTAAAATTCTTACATTTCCAGAAATATTGCAAAAAGTGTACAAAAATATACATCTTCCATAAGTAATTACTAATTCTTTAAAAAATGAAATGCAGCTTTATCCATGTTCAAAGCAAAATGTACTGGTGCTGTGATCTATTACACTGAAAATTTGTTTTCATCGTTTACTGCCTGTGAATAGGACTACATGGGAAACTTAATTATTGCCCACAATTTTTCTTGGAAAGATTTGCTTGATGTAAACTCTGACTGGTCAAAAGATTTCAAAACAGCAGCAGCTACTTGACTTATACTGAACAATGGCAAAAATCAATAGTTTCAGTATTGTTGCATAGTATTTCTTCTAAATTTGCATTGTTAAATAAGAGGAAAACAAATTTATCTTTATAAATGATGGAACAAAATTGAATAGTGGTATAATTGTCAAATTGTAAGAAAGTAAAGAAGAACATTTAAATTAGCAGTTTACACTTGAAATTATTTCCAAAACTTTGCAACTGATTCAGTTTTGTATACTAGCTTCTTTTCAGTATTAAATTTGTCAGTATTTACCATAGTAGGAAAAGTTAGTTTATACCATAGTCTCAACTTTTTGTTATTAGTTATAATAAAAAGGCCAACAGATGTAAAATCCAGAAATGACTATATTTATCTATGTCATAATCTTCATGTAATTGTTTACAATAATTTTAGTAGAGCTTATAGCAGAAATTATTTGAAAGTATAAAAGATTTAAAGAACTTTTGTCCAGTGTTCTGCTGTATCATTCATTTCTCCAGGACTGATCTTTAGTTACTACTTACATTTACATTCAATATTCAAAACATCCCCTCCCCCAAGGACACTATATAATTTGAGGATTTCTCCATTCCTCAGTCTGCTTTTACACACTCACCCACACACTCACTCTCTCTCTTTAATTTCCTCCCTCTCAATCAGCCACATTGTTGACATCTTCTTTCTACCCAAAGAAGACTGGATCAACAGGGCATGTAACTTCTGGCTGATGGGAGGTTCTACCCTTGCGTTTTCCCTTCCCCATTCCCAAAGGATCACCATCTGCTTTACTATGTATTCCCACTCCAAGGAGAAAGAGAGTGGGAGAATGGTAATCAAACTTAATGTCTCCTAATTGGCAGAGTTGAACACTAGTTTAGTCCAAAAGTCTACATTTCATGCAACTGTCTTTGTACAAGTAAATGCTTCCCCCCTTCCATAATAATAAAATTCCACTTCTGATGTTATGTCATGCTACTGAAATGACCTACAGTATTATTTATAGGTTTCTGTAATGCACCCCCTTACAGCCTGGTTTGCAGTTGCTGCAGATGTATCCCACCTTAAATTTCCCCCAGTTGGGGGAGCAATTTTTTTGCTTTAACAGCCTGGGTCAAGGAGAAGCCAACACACATTACGAAATACCAAGTCCCCTTTTAATAAGGTTTCAAGACAGGAATAATTCAGGAACCTGGTTCAGAGCTCCACAACTTAGAACGTCCACAAAACCAACTCTCTGAGTCAGGTTAGGTTAGACTCCTTGAGTCAGAGAGAAACCACCAGCCATGGCAGCCTGCATGGTTTCTACTCCCTTCTCTCCTGCTCAGCTTCAGCTTCCTGTTCCCTAGGGTGGGGCAGGGCCTCCTTGGTTACACCCCAGGATGTCCTTGCGTCAGCTGCAGCCTGTCCCTTAAAGGGGTAGTGCACTCCTTCACAGTCTCCTGTACATTTAATGTTGGTTTGTTTGGTAATATGCTGTGAAAAAATATGGCTAAAAAGCTAAGTATGTTAAATAATATTAGAGGGTTTCACAGGTGCTCAAGACTTGCCAGGATGCCTTCACCACATCTCAGAGGCAACCTGATATCTATTCTCTGTATCTTTACTATGGTTACTAAAGGATAGGCTGACCAGATGTCTTGATTTTATAGGGTCAGTCCCAATATTTGGGGCTTTTTCTTATATAGGCACCTATTACCCCCCCACCTTCTGTCCCCATTTTTCACTTTCTATCTGGTCACCCTATTAAAGGACCTCAGTTCAGAACTGTGCACCTAGCCAAACAGAGGTACATTCCATGAGTTTGGTACCAGATGTTCTATAACTCAATGGGGAGTAGAAGAAGAATGAAGAAAGAGGCTGACATTAACTGAAGCCTTTTCCTCAAGGCTGGAAGCCCATATACTGATTTATTTTGCACCCTGTATACTAATACATCTGCAAAAAGGCAGGGTGAGAGCCTTAGTTTTTGTAATTTCTCCAAGAAGACACCAAAAGAAGAGTTTCTCGGTGAGCAGAGGGGCTACGTTTGGAGTAGTACTACTCTAGAACTACACTTGGTTAAGGACCAGTATTTATTGGTATTAAAAAGAGAATTTTCTTTAAAGCTTGTTTTCCTGAATATATTTTCAAGATTTTCCTCTTCTGCCCTCTCTATATACAGTTAGGGCCAGATGATGTCTGGTCTGCATATAGGAATGGGAGGGAGGAGGCTCAAGGAACTTTTCTCCTCACCCCTTTTGCACCTCTGTGCAGGGACTAGCTATAACTGTAGTCTTTATGCAGTTCTGAAGGATGGGGAGAGGGCAGAGAAGAGGTGGGGCTTTGCCTCCTCACCTCTGACCTCAGCCAGCAGAGCTGGCCAGCTGGAGGGAGACACATGCTGCACCCTCTTAAGGGAAAGCTCACAGCAGATGCAGGCTAGGGAGCTCTAGGAAGTATCCTATCTCCTTGCCTGCACTGAGATGATTCTACACTGTCCCTATCTCAGGGGTATATCTTAAAGGCACAAAATGTGTATGTGCAATAGCTCCATTCATGTTGCATGGTCTTCTGTTTTTTTTTGTTTTGTTTTTTTGTTATGAATTCTAAGCCTATAGTTTTTTATGTTAGAAGAACTTACAATGAATTTGAATGTTCACTTCCACTTTTGCTGTGCCTTGTCTTAGGTAACAGTAAATTGAAGAAAGAGGCACAGCCTTTGAAACACACACTACTATAAAAGAATAGAGAGGAAACGCAGACAGTCCTTTAAGTGTGGTTCTGTTCTGAGGAGTGTCTCAGTAAAAGTGACATTATGTGACTCCACCTTTATTGTCTCTCAGTGATTTCTGTATCCAATGAGCTCAGTTTACACGTAAAAATGTCTTTTCTAGCTGCCAGCCCAGCAATCTCAACCTGGGATCTGAAGGTCATTCTGGTTTCTTTCCATCTCACACATCATATTCAGTGATAAAGGTTCAATGAGGACAAATAAGACCTTAGTTACACCTATTCAACTCCAATGCCTTCAAATTATGTCCTTGGTGAAACCTGTGCAAACCCACTGGTTGAGATTTTCAAAGCCAACTAGATTTTCAAAGCACAGACAGACAGGGCTGCCCTTAGGATTTATTGGGCCCTATGCAGTATTATAATATACTGGCACTAGAAAAGGTTCAGAAAAGGGCAACTAAAATGATTAGGGGTTTGGAACGGGTCCCATATGAGGAGAGATTAAAGAGGCTAGGACTCTTCAGCTTGGAAAAGAGGAGACTAAGGGGGGATATGATAGAGGTATATAAAATTCTGAGTGATGTGGAGAAAGTGGATAAGGAAAAGTTATTTACTTATTTCCATAATACAAGAACTAGGGGTCACCAAATGAAATTAATAGGCAGCAGGTTTAAAACAAATACAAGGAAGTTCTTCTTCACGCAGCGCACAGTCAACTTGTGGAACTCTTTACCTGAGGAGGTTGTGAAGGCTAGGACTATAACAGCGTTTAAAAGAGAACTGGATAAATTCATGGTGGTTAAGTCCATTAATGGCTATTAGCCAGGATGGGTAAGGAATGGTGTCCCTAGCCTCTGTTTGTCAGAGGATGGAGATGGATGGCAGGAGAGAGATCACTTGATCATTGCCTGTTAGGTCCACTCCCTCTGGGGCACCTGGCATTGGCCACTGTCAGTAGACAGGATACTGGGCTAGATGGACCTTTGGTCTGACCCGGTACGGCCGTTCTTATGTTCTTATGTTATTAAACTGGTGCCCCTATGCCCAACGGCAGCCTAGGTTTGCATGTGTATTTTAGATAAGGATAATCTTTTGAACGATTTATTTAAAAAACTGTATGTCTGAAGATCCAAGCATTTAAGGCTAAAGATGAATACTCAGATTGTGCATCAAAAAATCTATGCAAGGATTTTTTAGAGATGTGATTTTATAATCTTCAGCAACACACTAATGAAATATTTTTAAAGCAAATTTTAAACTAAGGTCCCATAGACTAACATGTTCTGAGTAAATATTACATAATGCACAACTGTTTTTGTCAGTAAATTCAGAAACTGACAGTATATACCTGGGGGTTGGCGAATGCCTGTTAAATGGCTTCATTATCACTTGAATGGCTCTTTAACAGTTTCAATGCTGAGCTAATAGGTCTGGCAGGCTGGAAGGCTTTTTCACTTTTAAGTACTAGATCCCCTCCGGAGGAAGACTCGCCAGGCTGCAGCAGCCAGCTGTGGTGGGAGCCTGCAGGAAGGGTCAGAAAAGGGACAGGAAGAAGCGAGGGGGTGGACACTAAGACCCAGGGTGCCCAAAATTTTTGGGTGCCCTACCCCTATGCTATGTATGCCTAAGGACAGCCCTGCAGACAGATGCTTATGATAACACAGATCCTTTTGAAAGGCCAAAGCCTATACATGAATTTAGGGTCTTAACTTTAGGCAACCAAGTTTAAAAATGTTGGCTGTGTGCGCTCAGAATCCTTGACTCCAAGAAAATCACATTTTTCCGGTTAAAAGAAAAAAATGTAAAATGTGTTCTCAAGACTAATGTGTTTGTTAAAAAAAGAGGTCCATAGATCAACTTATTCTTAGTTTTCAGCCTTTAAAAACTTGTTTCAAAGAAGGCTTCCTTTATAATCTTGAAATTCTGTTTTTCATCCATTTCTAAAGACTCAATCCTGCAGTACTTACTCGGGCAAAAGTCCCATTGAAGTCAAAGACTGAGTAAGGACTGCAAGATTTGGCCCTATGTCAAGATAGCCCAACACACACTGTGCTAAGATTAACAAAACAAAGTAAGTAAAAGCAGCTATGACTTGGCACAAAGTTTGACAAGCTGAAAAAAAGCAAATGTTTAAGTAACTGAAGTGGTACTGATTTTCTATTCACAACCTTTTCTCTTCTAAACAGTATCATATTCTTTTCCAGCATATTTAGATTGCAAGTCAAGCTGTGTTTTATTTTTTATTATAATAAACCCAGTCAGTATACTGTAACAAAGACATACTAGTGGTGACTAGTGTGAAAACCACTGTGAGACCAAGTTAGAAAAAAGGTCAAATGATAAAATAAACAATCAGCCATCTGGAAAGTTCTTGAAACACGTAAAAAGAAAATAAAAGGCAGTATTCTTATGAGACTAATACAGAATACAAAAATATTTAAGATAGGGCTCCCTCTATCATAGTAGCAAACCTTTCCACATAATGTTAAATGTTTTCCAAGTTCTTCTGTGCCAAACAATATTTAAGTTCTTTTAAAAAAATCTTTAAAAATCATTTTGTATGTTTCTTCCATTAGTAGAGTAAAATTTAGGCTTCTGCTGAACTGATTCTCCAAAAACCTCTTTAAAAAAATGCTTTTTCATTTTTCTAAAAAAAAAATAATCAATCAGTACATATACGCTGCATATGATACTTAGAACAAACTGAATATTTAAATAAATAAAGTTTCTATATATCTGAAAACAACCATTTTTATGAAGTTTGAAACACATGGCAGTTCATAAAAATAATTTAAGCACAAGAATCTTACCATACTTTGATTTAATGACCTCTCCTTTTCAAGTTCCATCTTTATTTTTTCTTGAGCTTCAATTAACTAAAAATAAAAGCATAAAAAGTAATGTTGCATTTTAGATTACAGGCAGGTAGAATTCTTCTAAAATCCTTTCTAAATATAGTTTACCAAAGAAAATACAGCATATATATAACCTAATGAATGACAGACAGATGGGCATCCTGGCACATACCATGATACCTAGAAACAAGCCTGACGGTGCACTAGGAATGCCACATGCAGAATGTCCAATTCACACACCAAATATTCACACTTTAATTTTGTATTGAACACACCCTGAATGTGCATACAAAATACACAAGATCAGATCTCCAGAGAGCTGCAGGTTAAAATGAAGAGCACTCTGAAAAACAGCTTTCTGAGACAAATCCTTTGGCCCAAATAAGAACTGCATGAAGTTCTGAACACAGTCAAACTAATGATGCTCCATTGCTTAGGTGGAGGAAGTCTGACTAGGATATCTATACCACCTGCGAAGCATAAAGAATGGGTATAGGGAGCCCCTACCATGGAGGGAAGTATTCTGAATGAGGATTACTCTGATTCAACAGTCAAACCACACACCTATAACGGGGGTGTTTGGAGAGCATTCACAAGGGCTGATGCAGTCAAGATGCAGTGGCAGTTTTGGAGTAGTTCAACTGCTGCTTGATGGCTTTCTGGGGAGGGAAAATATATTCTTTTTTCTTTGACTCTTGAAGTCATCTTCAGTATCTATAACCTGTTTACTTAGGCTTTTTAATGGGGAGCATGTCAGACACCTATTGTCATTGAGGACTAAGTCCATGCATGTATAAATTTTAAAAATTAACCCAATTTTAAAGTTATCTAATGCAAAAATTCTAGATATCAAGCCAAAAAAATTTTTCAGTGCAGTACCCAGTGGAAAAACTTCCCAATAGTGAGATGCATTAGGCTGTGGAACAGTCTCCAAAGAAGCGTCAGCAATCCCATGGATTAGGACTTTGCAAACTAAACTAGACAAACTGTAGGCTGTAAACTTTTGGGGGCAGGGATTGTTTCATCTATATATAATTTGTATAGAACCTAACACAATGGGACCCCAATCTTGTTGGGGCCTTTGGGCAGTCCCACAATATAAATAATACACTAGAAAATGTACTGTAGGGAACAACCCTCCTTTGGCAGATAGATGTACTGGATGGACCAATAGGAGTTTTCCATATCTTATCTTAGGATACATCTTATCTTCCATTTCTAATTTTAGGGTTCATCTATAGGATCTCCAAGGTTTAAAAACATTAACAAATTTAGCCTTCCAACACCCCTCTGAGGTAGGTTGGTATTATCCCCATTTAACAGAGGGGAATGCGAGGTGTGAGAAGTGACATCTTTGCAAGGAAAGTCTAAGGAAGAGATGGGAATAGAACCCAGATCTCCTGACTTTCATTCCTGTGCCTCAACAAAACAGAATTCTTCCTCTCCCTGGACAGTGAAAACAACTTAATATGAAGATTTTTATCATATAAAGGGTCATTACTTCCCAGAGATTTCCCCACAAAGATGAAAATACCTTAATGAAAAGGGTAAGACCTTGCTAAACTGAAGTTCTTCAAAAAGGGATATAGATCACATTGAAAAATGTTTCATGGAAAGAGTCCACTTTCTACAGTGGGAAGATGTTCTTTGATTTCTCTTTCATTTTTAGAAAGGGAATAATGCACTGTAGAGAAGAAAACCATTTGGCATGATATCTAGGCATGTTATCTAAATAGATCTCTATGTCCCCCATTTCTCAATGAGGTGTTTTTGTTTTTTAGAACTTCCCTATACCAAGAAGCATTAATTTGTATTTACTATGTCTTGTTCAACTACCGCCTTGTACTGATAGCACATAAATAATATTGAAGACAAATTAATAACATTACCCAGAAATACAGAAAATACACAGCAAACCACAGGTTATCGAGAATAAGACATTTCTTGCCCAAAATTATAGATACTTCCATATTTGATCCTTGTTACTCTTCCTCTAAAAATATACTTATGCCCTTCTTTTTAATGAAAGTACTCCACCCAACTCCAATACAGTTTGCTGAGGTTCAGAAGTGAGAAAGTGTCTAATTTAATAGTGTTAAAATGCTGACATGACAGGAGGAAGACAATCTGAACCACCAACTTCTGCATAGGCAGGAATACCAGCTCATTTTTACTCATCATTGAGATACACAAACATAAAACAAAATCTGAAACAATTGAAATGATATTGACTATTTTTCAGCTTTCTCATATTATTTGGAATAGACTTTGTGAATAACCCAAGCCTGCTGCTTTTCTGCTTAGAGAGACATCCATCACTGTCAAAACAGTACAGTACCTTTTGAACAGTTTTCTCATCTTTTTCCATTTTTAATTGCATACCTCGAACCTCCTTATCTGAAAACAAATAGGGAGAAAGGTAGAGCATGAAATTACAAGCCTACATCAATGTATTTATATTATATGCTTCAGGTCAGTCTAAGCCTAGTGGAATGCACAGTGGATGAAAGTCCTAGCAGAACTCTGACCTTCACAACTGCCCTTGACATTCATAGCCTTCTTCCTGCTGTTCAGCCGGCTGGTCAGATAGAGATTAAGAAGTAAGTTCAAGAGCCAAGTGTGGCTGAGTGCCCACAGCTTTTCATTAATACTAGTTCTGGACATCCTTGCTGTTAGTCACAGCCAATACAAAGTGCTTTAGCAGGTGGTTCTTTATTGCTCAAACAAAACTATGAAAAGATGAGAAGCGCCATTAAATCAGATGATAAACAGCAATAAAGAATACTGTTTATGTCAAATTCATCTTTCTACTATAAAAGGTACTACTATATCTAATCTATTTGGATGTACAAAAGTCAGAAGCCAGATTTTCCACACAAATTCTGTTCTAATGCCATAGATTTCTAGCTGTCCATAAGAGCTTTCTAACACTGACAATATACTAGCGGTAACTTGAAAGTAAAGACTGAACTTATTAATTGTTCTTATAACCTGAATGGTGTGTATGTTTGTTTATATATATACACACACACACACTCTCAATTTCAGAATAAGACAAAATGAATTCCTTTTTAAAAATGTTGTAAAGTAACTGTACTGAAAACAGTGTTGATAACTTGAAAAAGAGATTGATTCTTGTAGACTTCTACACAAACATATAATTCATATTTTTCCCCAGAAAGGGTATGTTAATACATATGTACAAGCACAGAAACCTATTCTATATACAGTGTCCATTTTACCTCCTCATCTTAAGGCAACTAAATTAAAACTAACAATATATTTAATCATTTACAAATATAAATATTTACATAACACTTTTCTCAGATTTTAGTAATTTTGCAGACTACAAAATAACAATGTTATATTTTATGAACTCCAGCAACACTGTTAACCAACATAAGAAGTCTCAACTTCCATATAAACAAATATTCTTTTATCATAAGTAAAAAAGTAAATATAAATATTCAAAAAAGTTTAGAATAATTAAAAAGTACAAAACAAGCTGATAGAAAGTCCAAGAATAATTTACCACATTTTTGGACCATACTAGATTTGCATTTTGATTTTAATATTTAATTCATACTGTATTTAAATGTCATCTTGACCTAACATCACATGAAAATTTTACCTAATTTATTATTTTCTTTTTCACTGCGTTTCAGAGACTCTTCAAGATGTGAAATCCTATCAAGTAGTCTAGAAACCTCTTCTCTGAAATCCTCATTTTCTTTTTCAAGCATATTTTTTTCATTGTCATCATCGTTGTCAAAAACAATCTGAAAGATTGAAAACCCTTGTATTTCTAAGTAAAGAATCAAGGATTTAAATATCTGCACAAATATAATAATTATACAACACAGCTATCATATAATTTTCTGAATTCTATTACACAGTTATAATATGAATACAAAAAAGTCAAGAGACTAAATAGGATCTTGCTGGAAGAAAGACTGCAGTACATTATATACAAAGCCATAACACATGGGGACATTTTATTGACAGGAATAATGCATATCATACTGTTTGTGTGCCCTCATCATTCAGGTCAATTTATTATGGAGGCTGTGTCCAGGAAGGCAGCTGGGGCCTATCCACCCACACTTCCCTCTGTGTTTATGAAGTGCCGTCCGTAACTAGGCAAGCAGGAGAGATTGTGGACAGGCAACACCAGGGGGTTGCAAAGTGCATGGCTAAGGAGGGGGGCTTGTTGCCTTTGTGCCATTTCTCAGTGACAGTGCTGCCAGTGTCATGAGGAGCACATCACATGTCAAAGTGGTGAAGTTTTCAGGCTGGGAGCCGCATGGAGTCCATCAGGCCTTCTGATACCAACACAGTTGGTTTTCTACTTGGTGTCGGAGCCACCCAGAGGCAATTCATATTCTGAACATTAACATGGCTTTGCATGCCTGTCACACATAGACCGTGCAGGGGTTTAATGCTATTGAAGACTATGGTTTAAATCTCTATGCAAACAGTGATTACCTAGTAAGAAGGTTCCAGGATAACATACAACAAAAGACTTTAAAGTTATAGTTTTAGTAAAGCAAACTCATTTACATTTTTATTATGCGTGTCCTTTGTTTAAATCTTGCCACATCCATTATGGAAAAGACTTCTTATGCAACTGAAGCTTATTGGGACAGCTACTCTTTTTTTCTTGTCTGTTTCAAAGCTATTGAAAACATTTGAATATATTGTCTTATGGCTGTCCAGATTTTACTGCCACATATTTCTTTTAAAATTAAAGAAAAGCTTTCGGAAGATGGAACAAAACTTTAGAGTAATACCAGCCTATCAAACTGAATTCTGAAATCCTTAAAATATTAAAAACAAAGAACAGGTTATTAATTACTTTGTTTACTAAAGAAAATTTAAGATATTTGTTTCACATGGCAAAAATAAGCATGTGAAAATAGGGCCTCCTTTTCTAGGTTACCTACTGATAAAAAATAAGAATCTGGTACCTAGAACTTTGGAAGTAAAATTCTGAGTTTTTAAGAAAACATGTAAACCTGAACTCAAAACCAAAATATATTTATGGCAAACATTCTCTCCTGCACAACTATTTCAAATGTTTTTCTCAAAAAACAAAACAAAACAAAACAAAACCACCTCTCAGTCCCTTGTGCTCACTTAAACTTTTAGGAATAAACTATCAAAGTGTTACATAGAGTTATGGCCACAGGACTCTCAATGATTTTACTGGGAATCAGGTGGATAAAATTCCAGAGTGTTTTAAAAATTCAACCTTAAAATTAGTTTGTAGCTCCCCTTTTTTTGCTAACTAAGAAGTAGCAATTTCTAGAAAGGTCAAATATTAGTTAATGAAATTATCTTAAGTTAGTAATACAGATTTTCAAACTAACAAAACAACGTTTTAGTTATTCTTATTAGTTAGTTACTAGACTAGGATTAATTTTTACAAGAACTCTTTCCAGAACCTTGGAAATCCTATAGGAAGTTTCTAACAAGCTGCAGAGGGGTTGTTAATAAAACAGCCAGTAAAATATTTGAGTGATTATTTATCATTCTCCTCTAACATTGTTCAACTCTAAACCATTACAGAACAAACTTACAATTTCAAAAGACCTTTTAAATAACTGTTTCAGAACGTAATAGGCTTAGGCATGAGTTCCTTTGCCCAGGCAGAATTTGAACATCAATAGCTGATAGCATGAGGATCACCATCATCATAAATGAAACTAGAAATGTTTGACTTTGCTATGTGAATCAAAGTGTAAAATTTTTAAATGATGTTTTAAAATCGAAATGTAGTCTTTTTATCTCTTACTGTTTTAATGCAACAATTCAGAAAAACATAGTAGGCTTATTTTACTCACAGATCAATTTATGGTTTGTGCTTTGCATGGATAACCTTTAGCTCTAGCTCCACCATCTGTTATAAACAAGAACTGCAAATAATTAACTATTCAGTCTCATGCTGCAATGAGGACACTCATTAGCAAAATGAACAAAGGGACAGTTTTCTGTAGCTACAGTCATCTGTTACACTTTGAGTGGCAGGTTTTGTGGTAGTGTTCTCTCTACCATCTGCCCACAGCAGTAGTTTTGGCTTGCTTAAACCAAAGGGACTTTAAACTCAATCATGTAAGCAAAAAAGGGCTAGAAAGTGGTTGGCAATCATAAGGTTTTAAACTCTCTCACTTTATATATAAAACTGCTGATTTGTTACTTTCAATCTACAATTTACCCAATAATAATTTTTAAATATCAAAATTGTTTTTATTTAGTTTTAATTAATGCAAAAATACACAGTTGCTAAAGGTATGAACTTTTAGTAAATTTCCAATAGAACACTAGGTAAATATGAAGACATTCTTTTGAAATACGACAAATTTAGGGCCAGATTCTACCATCCTTACTTCATGCTGAATAGTATCTTAGACATAAGACCATAAGAATGGCCATACTAGGTCAGACCAATGGTCCATCTTACCCAGTATCCCATTTTCCGACAATGGCCAACGCCAGATGCATCAGAGGATATGAACAGAACAGGACAACTTATTAGTGATCCATCCCATCATCTACTCCCACCTTCTGACAAATAGAGACTTAGGACACTGAGAGAATGGGGTTGCATCCCTGACCATCTTGGCTAATAGCCATTGATGGACATAGCATCCTTGAACTTATCTAATTATTTTCTGAACCCAGTTACACTTTTGGCCTTCACAACATGCCCTGGCAATGAGGTCCACAGGTTGACGGTGCATTGTGTGAAGTAGTGCTTCCTTTTGTTTCTTTTAAACCTGCTGCCTATTAATTTGATTGGGTGACACCCGGTTCTTGTGTTACATGATGGGTAACTTCCTTATTCACTTTCTCTACATCATTCATGATTTTATAGACCTCTAACATATCCCCCCTTAGTCATCTCTTTTCCAAGCAGAAAGGTCCCAGTCTTTTTAATCTCCCCTCATACAGATGCTGTGACATACCCTTAATCATTGTTGTTGCCCTTCTCTGTACTTTTTTCCATTTCTAATATATCTTACTTTAAATGGGGTGACAAGAACTACACACTGCATTCAAGGCATGGGTATACAATGGATTTATATAGTCGCATTATGATATTTACTGTCTTATTATCTATTCCTTTCCTAATGGTTACTAACATTCTGTTAGCTTTTCTGACTGCTGCTGCACATTGAGCATATGTTTTCAGAGAACTAGCTGCAATGATTCCAAGATGTCTTTCTTCAGCGGTAACAGCCATTTATACCCCCTCATTTTGTATGTATAGTTGGAATTATGTTTTCCAATGTGCATTACTTTGCATTTATCAACAATGAATTTCATCTGCCATTTTGTTGCCCAGTCACCCAGTTTTGTGAGATCCCTTTGTAACTCTTCACAGTCTGTTTTGGAGTTAACTATCTCAGGTAATTTTGTGTCATCTGCAAATTTTGACACCTCACTATTTACCCCTTTTTCCAGATCATTTATGAATATATTGAACAGCACTGGTCACAGTACAGATCCCTGAGGTACACCACTATTTACCTTTCTCCATTCTGAAAATGGACCATTTATTGTTACCCTTTGTTTCCTGTCTTTTCAGCAGTTATTGATCCATGAGAGGACCTTCCCTCTTATCCCAGGACTGCTTACTTTGCTTAACAGCCTTTGATGAGGGACCTTGTCAAAGGTTTAATATATCCACTGGATCACCCTTGTCCACATTTACCTCCTCAAAGAATTTTAGTCGATTGGTGAGACATGATTTCCCTTTACAAAAGCCATGTTGACTCTTCCCCAAAAAATCATGTTCATCTATGTGTCTGATCATTCTGTTTTTTACTGTAATTTCAACCAATTTGCCTGGTACTGAAGTTAGGCTTACTGGCCTCTAATTTCCAAGATCACCTGTGGAGCCTATTTAAAAAAAAAATCGGTGTCACATTAGCTATCCTCCAGTCATCCTGTACAGAAGCTGATTTAAGTGATAGGTTACATACCACAGTTAGTAGTTCTGCAGTTTCGTATTTGAGTTCCTCCAGAACACTTGGATGAATACCATCTGGTTCTGGTGACTTATTATTGTTTAATTTATCAATTTGTTTCAAAATCTCTAATATGAGTAGTCCCACTGATTTCAGCAATTATAAGGGTGGAAGAATATAGTCTTATATATTCAGCTGCAGGAATTTGTATTTCTCATACTTATGTATGAGGGTGTATTCTAATATACACTTGAAAAATAAGCAAACAGCACTTTTAGGATTAGTTATAATTATTTTTGTAAACATATCACAGTAAAAGTTATGTATAATATCAGTAAACCAATTATAGTACAAAATACTAAAGTATAGTACATAATTTGGTTAAAAGAGTCAAACAGAAGATTTCTCAATTCTTTTGTTGCTATTGTGTGTTTGTCCTGAAAAAAATCATTCTTAGAAAGCTGTCACCCATATTATTATGCACCTTTTTCTTTTTAAGATATATTTTAAATACTTGTGTCTGCATTACGTATACCACAAGAGGGGGCAATTGTGCAAGAAGTATCTGATGTATTGTCCAGCCTCTGTGTAGGGACCGCACTAGATGACCGATCGAGGTCCCTTCCAGTCCTACATTTCTGTGAAAAGCAAACTTTCATTTACTATACTTTAGTTAGTAGCTATTACAAGAGAAAGATACACTTTTCCATTTATTTGTAAAATTATTCAACCTTATGATGTTCCAGTGGTTTATTTACCATTTTAGCTTTTTTACAGTGAATACATTTACATATTTCATAGAGTCATAA